AAACGTTTTTAGAGTTCGGACCTCAGTTGCCAGTCTCACTAAAGCTATTAAGATAGAGCTTTAAAATGTTTCTAATTGAATAATCTAAAACAGCGGCAGTTGATAGTCTAAGCCACACTTTCATTGGCCTTCAGCCTTAAGCAAAATAATAAAAGGAGGGGGGGAGTAGCCCCTAGGTCTAGGCTCCTCCCCAGTGTGGTTAAGATTGATGTCCTAATAAAAGGTGTCCTGTCTGACTACATGTAATATCCAGTCTCTGTTTGGCATTCATCATAAAATATTTTTCCCCTCTGCCTGAGAACTACTTCTTGTCAGGCCACCAGGTAGGTATATGTTGTGAGAAAGGAAAGGCTTCTCTTCAGTTTCTGGCAACAGTCCTTCACTTCCAACTTGGAGTTTATCTGTTTTTCCTTGCCATAAAGCAAGCCTGGTAAATGATGTCATGGTTAACTTTTTAAAGATATTATAAATGGAGTTTTGGGACTTGAGCAAAATGAGCAGCAGTAATGAAATTCCAAAATAAAATGAAAACTTCTCCATGGTGGGAAACTTAGACTGATAAACAAAAAGACTTTCTAGCTAGTCTTAAGAGCAAAGGTGATCATGAGGCAAATTGTTCTTTTGGACTGCATAAACATCAAGAGACAGTAATGTAAATCACCTTACAATCTGTACTGTACGTACATATATTGTATACATGCAGTTAGATCCTGAAGCTACCGCTTTTCTGCTAAGGATGTATGTTCTATATCTAGTCAAGCTTTCTGGTGGTTTCTGTTCCTCACTCCAGGTTCTAAATCCTGGCAGGTTTGTTTGGTTTATGTAGTTATTGCTGCTTTCAAACTTGTTGACTCAAAGGTGTTTGGATATGCACCCTGAGCTAAACACAACAACCAGATGGCTTGCTCACATCAGTGACTTGTTCTTTAATTACAGAGCAGTATATGATCAGCTCTTATCTCTCTAAGGAAAGAGTAGAAACTTTTTTTTTTCCTTTAAAGCATTAATGCAGTTAGTAAACATCAGAATAACTTTAAAAGGACCCCACTCTGTAATGCATTTAATGAAACATCACTGTGCTGATGAAGAAAAGTTTATTTTCAATTTGATTGTAGCCTAGATTACCAAGTGTGGCATGAGGAAAGCTTGTGTTGTATAAAGGCAGTTTCCTTAAATCACTGTTCAGGCCAAGAGAAGCATCTGCCTAGTTTTTGCCTCTTTCAGAAATTGAAGTTTATTTGCTTTGCACAATGGTGTTTTATTCCAGGGAAAGGGCGAAATGTAGTGTGGCATGAAATTGAAATGGGTATTGATGCTAAGGAGCCTGGCAGGGTTCCAGTATAAAGTATTCTTTAGTATTTATGTAAGCTGAAGATTTCAGTGATTTGAGGCAGCTATTCAAACCTTGAAATAAGAATGTTGCTAAATGGCAGAAACTAGCATTTGACCTGTTTGTCCTGGTTGAGCTGCACTGAAATGTACCAGATATATGGTTAAATATTTCTTAATTGCAGCCCCATGCTTTGGTTTTAAGTAGCTTGAGTTGTGCTAAATTAACAAAATGTCGTTATAAAATGTTAGTTAATTTCTAGAGTTTTTACTAACTTACTCTTTTTAAAATGCTTTACAGATTGCTGTGTGAGTGTTTCTTAAATCTGCCAAAATGGTTTTAGCAGATCTTGGACGAAAAATAACGTCAGCATTGCGCTCTCTGAGCAATGCTACAATTATCAATGAAGAGGTATGTAATGTTTATATGCATGGTACTAGGGATGTTTGAGCCTGGAACAAAGCTAATGTGCTAATCCTTAAAGGGTAAATAGGACTTCCTGGTTTACTCTAGGCATGTCAAGCTGCCATTGAACCTAGACAATGGAATGGCTGTTTGTCAGGCTAGTGTACTAGAGAAACAAAGGAGAGTAATGCCATTCAATTTGAGATCATGGAAAATGTATGTAATCTTTACAAGATAAGTGTTACTGACAAAGGTAACAGTAACGGTGCCTGTATTACCTGATTTCTCAAAGCCACTTGACTGTATAGGTTAACATTTTTAATTTTTAATAATTTCAAATGATATACAGCATGTTGATTCTGTATCAAGTGTATTAAAACTGGCTAACTGAATTTAAGTGGAGTTGTAAACATGAAATCTTCATTGTGTTTGGTGTCTTCTCTCGTGACCTTCAGTAGGGATTAGGATTAGAGAAAAGTAGGGTTGAAACAGTCCTCAGAAAGTCATCTAGTTTAGTGTTTCTCAGCCTTTTGTGTACTAGGACCCATTTGTAAACATTGATGGCCAGTCCCAACCCAGTAAATAGTTTCAGTAGAAAACAGCCCCTGGTCTTGCCAGTGTCCCTCACTCCCAAGCTGCCAACCCTTCTGCAGCCCTGCTGATACCACTTGTTTCCAGCCTGCTGCCCCCCCCCCCCCCC